ACTTTGAAGCCACACCCTCGCGTTATTTACCTTACTGATTAATCCGTGGCAGGCATGCGACCGAAATGCTGGGTGAATATGCCATAATGAGGAAAGTTCTCAAAGCAAACTCGCATTTGATTGGATCTTTCAGATTCTGACATATGGGACTGGTAGATGGACTCCACTTCAGTCATATAAGCTCTAAAACGACAACAAATCAAAGTGCCCCCACTCTGTGATTTAATTCCCAAAACTACCAATAAATTCCTTTTTCAAACTTTTTTTTTTGCTTTGTTCTGCCATGTCGGGTGCAGTAACGTGAGAGATTTAAACTGCAGATTTTTCAGCCGCTTAGAGATAGAGAAAAGGGCGCTGTATGTGAACACACCCTAATGCCGTGGTTCAATGACTAGGTGAATGTGAATTGCCTAGCATTGGTAAATTTCTCAGGCACATCTTTTTAAAAACACGGCTGTCAGATTTCCAAGCCGGCTTAATATAAAATGGGAGGAGCGCCTGGAAGGAGTCCACAAAAGGCAAAATTGAATAGCTAGCCCTGAATTCCCATGGTGACTGAGGAATTCACGTGGCTAAAAAGCCGTGAAAAAAGAAAATCACCGTATATCATTTGTAGTCTCTTGAGCATCATTCCTGGACTCCACGCAGTCCGAGACCCTGAATATTGCACAAAACGCATGACAATCTGTGATGAAGTCTGGTCTATGTTCCCCACTACACACAGTCTCCTCATCATCTGCTTCTAGCGGTGACATTAGAAGGCGGAAACCTGAAAGCGTAGTGAATTTTTCCATGGAGACGATGGTAATTTGCTGAAATCGTGAATCGCTGGAAATTGGGAATTCATTTATGGTACATTCCTCTGTAGAGGGTCTCCACGGCTGTAGCCTTTCATAGCAGATATTTTCCATGAGTAAATGTAAAGGAGAACCAACAGCTGGAAATTAGGAGCGATATAGCCCTAGATGCCTAGAAATAGATTGTTTACCTCCAAAGATAAAATAGGCAATAAGGATGGAGTCCACGGCTACCTTGTGTCGCGCTGAGAAATGATGCGGAATTGTAAAAATGACTATAAATAAGTAGTCAGTTTAAATAAATTTTTTTTGCAAATAGACCATTTTCAGGCCTATTGGGAATTAGACCAACTTATTTGGCTATCCAACGCTCCATCTCTACGATTGAACAAAGTAGGTCCCGTACAGATTCAGAGATGCAATGCAATTGTCCCAAATTACTTAAATATACTGGGTCGGATTTAAGATTTCGTTTCTAAAAGTTGGCCATTTGTTATTGAGGCGTTAATGCGATGCGGGTGAAGTAGCGTAACACCTACACATACGTTAGGAAACTTCTACAATTGTCTCTGCAAAACTCAAAAGTGCAGAAATAAAACCCAAATTGCCTATAATAAATACAATATAATGGGAAAAAGTTAGGAGGTGAATTCCTGTGTGCCAAGGTAAAGCAATAGTTTCGAGCCATTTGCTATTGAGTGTGTGTATGGCTTTCACTGACGAGGCGTGTCAAGACACTGAACCAATGCGAGCTCGGTACTGGAAAACTTAATGGAGACTCAATGATTTATTAGTCGGTCCTCCTAACTAATCCAAGCGGTCCTAGATGAGTTGGTTAGTCAGTAAGGTAAATAACGCGAGCGTGTGGCTTCAAAGCAATTGTGACTGGGTGGTTCGAGAGCACCAATGCACAAAGCTTGAACACAGCCGCGTTTGGTGGCGGATAGCAAACACCACCACGAAATTCACCACGGTCAATATCACCACTGTCCACCCCGTATGGACACACACACACACACACACACACACACACACACAACGCACACACACAACGCACATACACGCAAACGTCAAAGCGACGTGTAATGGGTGTGGTTAAGGGGGTCTCTCTCTGCCTTTGCCAGCTGTTATTTCACTACTATAGGCGCGGCTTTCGTGCACATGACCTCGTGAAGCGAGACGTGAACCACTTGGCAATTGTAAAGACGCCACTTGTTGGTGGATTTACCCAATTGTGAAGCATTGTCCTCGTGAAAATGTGTTTACTGAGTAAAGCCTTAGGGATTGATGTGGTGATGGGGGATAGGCGTGTGTTGTATTTGTGTTTGAGGAGGCATTTATGACCACGAATTGGGGTATGGGATAAAGTTATTCATGAAAAGCTGAGTTGAGTCGTAAGGATTTTGAGAAACGTATGAGGCATTGATACTTGGGTGGAAGGGTGTGACAGGATGCTAGAGGAATTATACTGCTACTTAATTTCACTTCTGCCTCGGCAGAAAGTGCTGACCATTATGATGAGTAATTTGCATTTGGTATCTCTTGTACTAATCGGTGGATTTCACGCAAACCGGCCAAACTATGTTTACGTCTGCAATAGACGAACTGCAGGTGGAGCTAAGAACGGATTTGTTTCATACTAAAGTGAGTGCGTCAACCCTACCTCCGGTCCATCAGTAGCCTGTTTGATTGTTCTAAGTCGAAATAGTAGTTTTTCATTAAACAAGCAAAGTGATGACAGTATGTGGCGATTAGTTCTAAGCTGTTTGAGTCTTGCAAGAAAGTAGTCGGAAGGCAGATAAGTAATGCTGGCGAAGTAACAATAGGCCTTGACTGCAATGACGTTGTCGTATATGCAAATCGAAATCATCACGCAGAAGCTCAGCGCATTTGATTGTGCGTTGTCACTAGATTCCTCGCATGATAAAATTAGACTCGACTGTTGTATGTGACTACCGTGGTGTGCAAAATAATTTTGTTGAATTAACCTCTAGTCACTCTTATTTCCTGCCACTAAATATTTACCAAAATCATTAATTTGAAAAGGACTTATCCACCAGACCATTTAACCCCCGTGCTAAGGCTGCCAGACAATCCACAATTGCTACCTAAAACTGGGGACAATCGTTGGCCTGATTGCTACCCTTACAACCACTAA